AACCCTTTATTCTGAGGTAATGTCTATCTTTGATATTGAGGAGTAGTTTTTGTATGCAGCAGAAGGATGGATCCTAGTTTTGCTTCCATTCTCTTAGTCTGTGTGTTTTTTCTTAGTAAATAGAGTCTATTGATATTGAGAGATATTAATGACCAATGATTTTTAATTCCTGTTATTTTGTTGTTGTCATTGTTGTTGTTCTTGGTTGTGGTGTGTGTATGTGTGTGTGCTTCCCTTCTCTTGGTTTTGCTGGGGTGGGATTATTTATTTCCTGTGTTTTCAAAGGCATTGTTAGCATCCTTGGGTTGGAATTTTCTTTCTAGTACCTTCATAGGGCTGGAGTTGTGGACAGATATTATTTTAATTTGAATTTATCATGAAATATCACATCTTCATCTATGTTGATTGAAAGTTTTGCTATCGTAGTAAGGGCTGTCATGTATGGTCTCTTACAATCTGCAGTGCATCTGTCCATGTCCTTCTGGCTTTTATAGACTCCACTGAGAAATGAGGTGTAATTCTAATAGGTATGCCTTTATATGTTACTTGGACTTTTCCCCTTGAAGTCTTTAATAATTTTTATTTGTTCTATATGCTTAGTGTTTGCATTATTATGTGGTGAGGGTACTTTTTTCTAGTTCAATTTATTTGGTGTTCTGTATGCTTCCTGTTCCTTTATAGGCATCCCCTTCTTTAGATTATGAAAATTTTCTTGTATGATTTTTTTGAAATTTTTTTCTGGGCCTTTGAGCTGAGATTCTTCTCCTTGCTATATTCCCATTATGTTTAGGTTTGATCTCTTTATAGAGTCCAAGATTTCCTAGCTGTTTTGTGTCAGAAAATTTTTAGATTTAATGTTTTTGGCTGAAATATCTATTTCTTCTGTCGTATCTTGAATGCCTGAGATTCTCCCTTCCCTCTCTTGTATTCTCTTGGTTGTATCTGTAGTTCCTGTTCACTTACCTAGATTTTCCATTTCCAGAATTCCTTCATTTTGTGTTTTCTTTATTGCTTCTATTTCCATTTTCAGGTCTTGATCAGTTTTATTTATTTCCTTCAACTGTTTGTTTTTTCTTGGCTTTCTTTATGGGATTTATTCATTTCCTCCAATTTTTGTTTGTGTTTTCCTTGATTTCTTTAAGGGTTTTATTCATTTTCCTTTTTAAGGACCTCTATCACCTGTACAAAGTTGGTTCTAAGGTCTTTTTCTTGTATTTTGGCTGTGTTGGGATATGCAGTGCTTGCTGTCATAGGACAGCTGGGCTCTGGTGGTGACATATCACCATGGCTGTTGTTGATTACATTCTTCCTCTAGCCCAGGCATCTGGGTTTGGGGTGATTTTATGACTAGGTGTCAAGTTTATCTTTGGTGGGTGTTTTATTTCTTGGTTTCTCTTTCCTTTTTGGTCTTTTCTTCTGTGTGGCCTATGGTTGAACAGAGGTTCTTCTCCCAAGCTGAGGACTGGACTTCTGGCAGCTGGCCTGGCCTCTTGTTGAGCATGGCCTCTCCATCTGAATTGGGGCCTTGGACATTGTGATTAGGGGAGGGGCGACTGGGGGTAGTGTCTGAGGTGCACTAAGAGAGTGGAGAAAGTTCTGGGGCGGGAAGTCTATTTGGAGTTCTGGTAGCCTAGTGGCCACTTGTCCAGCAGTTGAGGCTGCCTGAGTTTGCCTACTGGTTCTTCTGGCTGCTGTGGCCTGCACTTGAGTAGGGGATGTCTGCCTGAGTTGTGTGATATTTCTAATAGATTCCCAGGTGGCACGTACTGAGACGTGGAGTCCACATGCACATCTATATCAGACCAGAAAGTCTGATATGTATGCCTCCATTTGTCTACATGAGTTTTGTTTGTGAAAAGAGTTCTATTGTATTAGATTTTTTAGCTTCTTCCTGAACCATCTCTGCACACTTGCTGTTTTTTACCTCAGTACACACACACACACACACACACACACACACACACACACACACTGGCTGTAGAGATGGCTCAGAGGTTAAGAGCACTGGTTGCTCTTTCAGAGATCTTGAGTTCAATTCCCAGAAACCACGTGGTAGTTCACAACCATCTGTAATGAAATGTAGTGCTGTCTTCTGACATGCAGGGATACATGCAGGCAGAACACTGTATACATAATAAATAAAGAAATCTTTAAAATATATGTACATATCTGCATATATACACACATATAATTTGAATAAAATGATGAAGCACTGTATCATGAATACAAATTATTTAAAGTATTAATAGAATCCTTGAGAACATTTTAAAATTATAGACAATTTCATGTGATATAAAGATATCATTTTTACCCCACATATACATACACTGTCCCCTATATGAACATCTTTATAAGCAAATGTGGTTGCTACAACTAGCGAGTGAATACTGATGTCATCACTGATTGAAGTTCAAGATTACTAGACTCCCATATAGGATGGCAACATTGTATTTAGCTGTCACATCTCTTCAGTTTTCTCTTGGTTGGGATGATTTTTCAGAAGATATTTGTTTTAAATGATCTGAATATTAGTTCTGAGGATGACTGATCTGATATATTACAGGATATTCCTATATTAAAATTTGAGTAATTATTTTTGGAGAGAAAATGACAGGTGTGAAATGCTAGTTTAATTATATAGTACACAGAGTCTAAACCATACAAATTATTATAGACCACTATTATTGCCTGATGATCCACTTAAGGTAGGCCATTTAAAAGTGTTCCTTTTTCATCATCTGAATCTCTTATTTCTTTATAAAAAATTGTTCTCCTTTCATACAATGCATCCCAGCTGCAGCCTCCTGTCCTCCCTCCTCCCAGGTCCCTCCACCCCCACAACCCCAGATCCACTGCTTCTCCATTTCCCTTCCGAAAAGAGCAGCCCTCCTCTGCTCATGGGACATTTTTCTCTTACTGGGTTGCCTTGACCAACCTTGATATGAGGGATTACACCTAGTCTGATTGCATCTTGCTATGCTGTGTTCTGGCTTATTAAAGTGTTCCTTTTTAAGGCTAACCACTTGGTATTGGATAACCAATTAGGAGGCTCATCCCTGGGGATTAATTCTCCCTCTCTCAGCAGGTATTAATTGCCCATAGTTCTTAGAGAAATAAAAATAGGCCATGAATTTGAGAGAGAGGAGGGAACATGGCAGGGATTAGAGGGAGAATTATATAATTAAATTTTAATTAAATGTAAAAAATTGATCTTTTTTAAAGTCCATTTTACACATTGTTATTTTGAAAGGATGTTGCTACATGTAACCCACAATATGGTGGAATATTGGGTTAGGTTTCTCAAGAGACAGAATAATGTATCTGTCTATATCTATCCAAGTTCTTCATAATGGTGCACAATACTCTTTGTCATCTGAGCCTTGTTTATGTTTACCACTAAAAATGTAATTTCTTAGTTCTATACTGAACACTGCATGATCTGGCCGTTCATTCTATCCCATTCTGTTCTGTGATTGTTTTCTCATCTCTGACATTCTTTGTATCCATACAAGCACATAGGGATATACATGAGTGTGTGAATTTAACTCTGTGTATCTGCCACAATATACTTCTCAATTCTTTGCTTTATTTTTCACATATTTTATACCTCTCTTTATTTGGTATAGACAGTTAAGGATCATGAAGGAAGACTGTATTTGTTTGTTTATTTCTGTTTGGTCTCTGTTATTCAATTCAATTTCTATGATTTTTATTTCTCCTGATTTCTCTGTCACTCCATTGTACTGCATTTGAAAAAGGCTATTCTATCAATTTTTTCAATTATGAAATGGAAAAACACATTATTACAGAAAGAAAGAGTTATACTTACAACACATTTCATCCTTTGACCCAGCTTTTATTCTCTAAAATTTTCCCTGGGACACAATTAACTAGTGTAAACAAAGTTGATCAGTTACTATTATTCTTAATAGGGGTGTAAAGAAAAGCAATGCCCTAAGTAACTGGCAAAAAATGAATCTGTTAAAAATATATCCATATATGAGTATAATAAAACACAATGCCATGATTAAAATGTTTTCAAAAATGAAAAAGTTGTATTTACACAATATGGGTTTTTATATTTTTTTTACTTTCTTAAGGCATTCTATTTTACATTTATTTCTAGAATATTTGTAATATTTTTGTGAAGTATTTTTATCATCATTAACTTAAAAAATGTCAGAATTTTGCTACCATGATTACTGACATGTATTATTTAAATACAACATATAAAACTATGAAATTTTCTGGTTCTTGGTATAATGAGTTATACCAAGAACTAAACTTTTATTTAGAGACACAGACAGTTTGGCATTATGTCCTCAGTGTCTGGGTGTCCATGGCACTCTGTTCCTGACAACACCACAGTAGGACAAAGGGGTCCTGATATTAGTGTAGATAGAGGTAGACTTGAGTGCTTGGCATCTGAATTGGGAGAGGTTCCTTGCTGGATCTGTAGAAGTGGGGAGTCCCAGCTTCCATGTGGTTTCCACATCAAGCAGCTTTAAAATGACTTTATGACATTCACTTACGTTTCTTTCTTCTCCCAAAGACAAAGTCTGGATCTGTTGCCCAAAGGATTGGAAGCCATTTAGTTCCCACTGCTACTTCACTGTGAGTGACTCAGCATCTTGGAGTGGGAGTGAGGAGAACTGCTCCAGCATGGGTGCTCATCTGATGGTGATCCACAGCCAGGAAGAACAGGTGCATCCTGGGAGAGAGTGGGGCCTGGGCCTGGCCTGCTCTCTGCCTCTTTTTTCTAAGAGGGAGTTTTGTTGACATGGGTGTTGCTGATGTGGCAGAAGGCTTTCCATCAGGAAGCTGGAAAGGTTGCTTCAGCCTTGGCATTCTACAGTTTGTCCCTGCTTCAGTGAAGCTGATCATCCCACAAGGAACCATGGCAACAGAAATGCAATGCCTGAGGGTGGAAGGAAGGGTGAAATGTTTCTGCTTGAAAGAGCAGTTTGTGATTTCAGCACTCTAATGCTTCCTGTAGTACCCACTGCCTAACAGAGGAGGGCGCAGAGCTGACTAGGGAAAGGGGATCAAATCAGGAGAGTCACAACCAACCATCAGAAATGAAATATCCAAGATCAACCTGGTAGACTCAGTCCAGGCAGGTCCAGACAGATCTCAGTCCTGGAGGGAGGCTTTGCCCTGTTGGGGGTGGGAATGGGGTGTGGGCTGGGGGTACGGGACGTGCGAGAACAAGAGAATCAGTGGCTGATGTGTAGAACTGAATTGTATTGTAAAATAAAATAAAAATAAATAAATAAAAAATTTTTAAAAATTTAAAAAATAAATTAAATATCTGAGGTTATGAATGGAGAATCTGCTAAATTCTCTCATGGACAACTTACAAGAATGATGTTGGGGAAGAAAAGACGGGAGTGAGTCTAAGATGAGAATTCATTATGATCATGGACAGAGATTGTTTCCAATGTCATGGAAATCAGGCCTCTGAGTGATGACTTTGTGTCCTGGTCAGCGGCACTCCTGGGGGTGGGGTGGCTCCTCTATTCCTTGATCCTTTCTTTGTCTTCTCATCTCATTGTTACCAGAAATAAGTCAGTCAAAATATCATAGTATACCTCTAAAATGTATAATTAATGTGTATTAATCTATAATTTCAGAAATATTTAAGGGCCTAGAGAGATGAATGGAATTTGATTATTACATATTTGCATCATATTGGAACTATAATTTTGTATAGTTAAATTAATTTTTAAAAGATCTAATAAAAATTCTATACCAGAAAAAGAAGCACTCCATCCAGGCTGAATGCTGTATCTCTCTTTCCTCTTAGGATTTCATCACCAAGATCCTGGATCCTAAAGCTGCTTATTATATTGGGCTTTCAGATCCAGGTCACCGACAGTGGTGCTGGGTTGATCAGACACCATACAATGAAAGTGCCACGTGAGTCCAGAATTACCTAGAGGAGTCCTGGGTCCTGTAGCATGAGAAGACTTTAGGGTGTTCCAGCTGTTGGTTATGAAACTAAAACAGCTCACTCATGGTGTGACTGTTGGGGGTGGAGTTACTTTATCCCCATTTCCTCATCAAGGAGGCCTGTGAGACACATGTCACTGATACTCCAGGAGAGATGAGGAAACTGAGTTTGAAGAGTGTAGCATGATAAGTACCTAGGGCACCCAACCAAGGTGCTATAACCATGGTGGGGTTTATTATGCTTTCAGTCTCTCCCTATATTAAACAATAGGATTTAATTTTTTTAGTAGTGTGTAAATCTATGTCTTTCTGTGTGCCATGTGTATGTGGGAGTCCATGGAGCCCGTAAGTGGGTGTTGGATTCTCTGGAGCTGAGTTCACAGGTGGTATGACTGCGTCAATATGGGTGCTGGGAACAGAAATGTCATGTGTTCTGGAAAAGCAGCGAGCACTCTTATGTCTGAGCCATCTGTCCAGATTTCATTTATATCTATAATAAAAATTAATGTTAAGATCATAACTGATTATTTATCTTAAATCAAAAGCCTTCAATCTCATATTTTTATGTGTCATATTTATGTAACTATTTATAAACTCTAATATCTTAGTATGTTCCCATATTCTATCCTAATTTCTATTGTGAGAAATAGGTAGTAATGTTATTCTCATTCTTAGTTTTCAGAGAATAAAAGTAGGAATCCTGGGTAGTAAATTACTTGTCCTAGATGACAGAAATACATAGATTATCTAACTATTTTAAGTATTTCTCCAGTCTCTAAAATAAGACTACTGTAAAATGAAAAAAATTATTACAGC